ACAGACACGCCTGAGAGACAACGAAAAACGCACACGCTGGAAATATATATCTATATATATGGAAAAGTCGATCCGTTTTTCCGAGTCACAGATGAACTGCACCCTGACAATCCTGGCGTGAAATAAGCGACAAACCTCCGGGATAAAGGGACAGGTTTCCCCAGAGAAATATCTACCTGACTTCCTAGCGAAATGAGAAATTTCGCTGGGAAGAATCGAACGATGTTGATTAATGATAAAATCTTTGATACATCGTCACTCTGATACTGCTGCAAGTAGATAACTCGAAAGTTCATATTAGTTTTACTCGTAAACCAACAAAAACTAATCTCTTATTCTCTTGATGAACGGAGATACCGTTTCTCACACTGTTTATGCGAGTAAGGTGATAACGCACCCCTGTTAGATGGGTGCCTCGTGTCACCGGCTCTGCGTGCCCGGTAGAGTCACTTCCGAAAAGAAGAAAGTCACTTCCGATGCGTAGTTGAATAAAATATCTGTTAACGATACAAATGTCTTGCTGCGACAGACGATATAACATTAGTGCGTCGCCGACGGCTCGTCCGCCGTCTTTATACGCCGCGATGACGCGCGCCCGACCGTTAGTCCAAAAAGGCCCGAATCGCACGCGCCACCGAGGCGGCACATCAAAGTGCCGATCCGATCACTCGCGTGACGGCACAACAATATCCAAGCATTAAAAGCTGAAGCAGTTTATTTAAAACCCATTTTCCCAACAGTTCACGTTGGAAGGAGGTTCATCATCTTGAGAAGAATTTTCTGGGATATTGATCCTCGAGAGACAAGTTGAGGGAAAAAGGTGAAACTTTTGCGAAGCTTAAGATTGCGTTTTTCTTAGGAAGAGTGAATTTGAGATTTCTTTCTTTCTTCTTTTCTTTACAATCTTTGGTATTTTGATTATCTCTGTATTTGTTGTACTCAAAAATTTACTTGCAAGAGATTTTTGTAAGAGAAATTTGAATGACTTATTTTTCTTTAGAATCCTTTCCAATTCAATTATCTCCATATTTGTTACACTCATAAATGCATTTTTTTCAAAACAAATTTTTTTTCTTTAGAATCTCCGGTATTTCCATTCTCTCCATAATTATTATTCTCAAAAATGCACGATACGATAAAATTTCAATGATTTTTTTTCTCCAGAATCTTTTCAAACTCAATGATCTCCACAAATGCGTTTTCCTCGAAACTAATCAATCTGAGATGTAAAATATTACAATATAATTAAGTTTGAATAATTTTTTCTTCACTACCTTTTCCACTTCAACTATCAATTCTTAAAAAAAAAACCTACGCAAATTTTACAAGCGAAAAAAGAGAGATCCACCCAGCAAGTGTGAAAAATACAATTAATCGATTTCCACGTCAAGTTCGAGTAACGTGTTTCGCCGAAATAAATCGCATTCTCCCAAACTGCGCGGGAAATTGGAGAAAGATTTCACGGATCTGGTTCGCTGCAAACTTTTTAACGAGCACGATGAACTACGTTCGATCGATAACCGAGATATCGCGAGCAAGTTTCGCCCAACAATGAGAACTTTTCGATAGGCTTGGAAAGTTGATCGAGCCTCGGTGTCTTTCACCCAACGAAACAACGAGGTTATTTCATATTTAAACCGTACAGCTTTTAGGGGAAAAAAATGTGAAACTCTGTGAAAAAATTACCCCTCTCGAAACTTCTTCCAGCTTTTTCCCCCAAAAAGTCCCTTTAAATCTACTAAATTTCACCTGATAAACTCCTCGGTTGTCTCGAATTTCTCCAAGAAGTTTCTCCAATCTGTTCGCGGAATAAAATGTCCTTAAGAGTCTCCTTTCGAGCCTTCTTACTTCCTCTTTTCCTTTTTTTTTTTAATTATTTCTGCATTTCCCCGCGGAAATCAGACAATTTTTCCATTCTCCTACGATGACATTCGGGGAGACGTTATCGTGTATCGCATTAAACTATCGGAAAAGCTAGACAATTTAAAACTTCTCTCCGAGAAACTCGCAAAAATTAAACAATCTGAAATGCTATTTCTCTATTTTTTTTACTTTGCTGAATATCATGGTCACATGGATCAGCATGCAAATTGCTGGACGAGCATTTTCACCGTTCCACTAATCTTCATAATTCACACGGTTAAATCTCGTTACCTGGCATACGTAATAAACTAATTAAGCGCTGCCTTAAAATTCTACTACCCTAAAATATACCAAAAAAAAAGTAATACTCTCCACTTGCAATGAAGTGTTCCAAACGATAAATTATCAAATACCTACTACCCTAAAACATAATTAAAAAAAAATAATATTCTCCACTTGCACGATGTAATTGAAGTGTTCCAAACTGTAAGAATATGGTTGAGTGAAGGTAGGGACTCGGGCCGGTTTCTGACCCGCAGACCTCTCGGTCCCAACGCCTGACTCCCCCACGCGCTAAGGGCTGGGTCAGGAAGGACCCAGCCACGTGCTCGCGCGACGCGGGCCTTGCCGGGTAGAAAGGCCCAACTTGCGCCAGGGTTTCCCAAAGGCAAGAGAGGGGCGTCAAAGCCGGCATCTAAGGACGCGCTTACAAAACGCCCTAATCGTAAATCCCCATTCCTTCCCTACCACATAATCTAAGATTTCTTGTTATTAATTTTTTAAAGAACTCAAACTTTTCAGGAAAGCAATCTTTAGCAAATAATATTACATCTAATATTTCTTTTTTCTCTACTTCTTTTTCCTCATCAGACTTATAAATGTCTTCTCGTTTCCAGTTAATTATTAACCCTGCAAGCATGTCCTGTATAGGAACTATACAATTAGAAATATTAACAGAAATCTTTCTGTATTCAATAAAGCAGTCACATTTCCAAATCTTCATAATAAGAGATCTAGCTTGAGTACTTGATTCAGGATTTTTCAACATTACGTTTGAAAGTGAGTAAAGGAG